ATGTACTTATGAACGAGAGTCACGATGCAAGTTTCCTGTCATTCCTATATTTCCCCAGCCAGAGGGTTGCAAAAACGATCTAATCCCCCAATCCCGGGGGGTGGTAGTGGTCAGCCATCCTCCCATCCTGGCTGGGGTGACCGACTCCCATCTCCCATCTTAAGGGCCGGTGTTAATCCCATCCCTTGAGACAGGTTTCCCATCCTGCCAGCCAGGGTCCCATCCCCAATCCTACGGCCAGGGTTTCCAATCCCATCCTGCAGCTGTGTTCCCCCAATCCTCATCCTGCCAGCCAGGGTCCCTTCCCAATCCCTTCGACCACGGCCATCCCCATCCCCAGCTGTGTCCACAACCGAAAGCTGTCAGCCAGGGTCCCATCCCTATCCCCTGAGCTGGTGTCACAATCCTCATCCTGAGATGCCAGCTGCAAAACTAATCCTCACGTACACACAGTCGCTGTTAACTTAATCCTGTATTGTGTCTCATCCTGTTTGAGTCGGGTGTAACTCTTAGCCAGGCTGGGCTGGCCATGAAGTATGAAAAATGGACTCCTGTACATTACATTACACATAGGACACCCGTAAAAGTTCGCAGGAGGGTTGCACAGATGCACAACACTGTGCGGCACTTCAATACGGCACTTCCACACCACTGTACGGCAGCTAAGCTTAACCTCTCAAATTACAGCTCTATAGCGAGTTTCTGGGCCGTCCCCAACAGTAGGCCACCACCCATATTCCACCAGACGCATATGTTAGTATGGTCAGTGTGTGCAAACTTGCTCACACGCACTGCAGAGACAGTGTTACTTGGCTTGCCAAGAACCAAGTACCAGCAGGAGGCACCAAGAACCAAATTGGGACACGTGTACCCTTACAGTATGGTCAAACGCATGCTGGGCCTTAATCATGCACGATAGCAAAATTGATGTGATCATGCATTAAACAGACCATTCGTATTCGTACGTACAACAGGTACCCCTCTCTGCCCAGTCTATGTTGCAGAGTCGCAAGCAGAGTTTGTCACAGTAGGCGGTCAGAAGAGTAAGTCTGGTCGCAAAGTACAGCCTACCAGGAGGGCACTTGGACAGGAATTAAACTTTCCCCTGGGACCAACTCTGCGGGTGACTCTGCAGGTGATTGCGTACGGCAGTACGGGAGCGCTTCGCCCGTTACGCCGCCGGCCTTCTTTCCCGCTGGCAGCGCCTTCACGAGTCCAAGGCGCTCAAGCTGATGGCTGCGGAGGTGGCTGCTCACTGGTCGGATGTGGAGCAGTTCTTGGCGGATGTTGCCGGGGAGGCGGCGGGAGGGAACAGGCCGCTGCTGGGCGCCGCCGCCCCGCCACTGCCCCTCAGCCCCCAGCTTCTGAAAGACACGGCCCTGCTCAGCACCCTCGGCAACAGCGACTTCCTTTACGCCATCGGCAACGCCTGGATGAGCGCGCAGTATCTGACGCTGACGCAGAAGCTCGTGGAGGTGACAGGGCAGCCAGCGCCTAGCCAGGAGGGTGACGCGGCAGCCGGGGAGCGGGAGCAGCGGCTATCGCACGCTGCAGCGCTGTTGGTTCGTTGCGAGGCGCTCATGTACACGGGCGAGTACGAGGAATCGGAGGGGCTGGCGGCGAGGGCGGTAGAGCTGTACGATCAATTGCTGGGTCGCGACAGTGTGGGGTGCGCTGCGGCTCTGCACCTTCGTGCCAGCTGCCTGCAAGGGCAGGGCCGGGGTACGGATGCAGTACCGCTGTACCGCGAGTCGTTGGCGGTACGGCAGGAGGCGCTAGGCCCCACGCACCGCCACACAACCGCCACCATCACGCACCTGGCGATGCAGCTTTCGATGGAGGGGGCGCACTCGGAGGCGGAGGGGCTGTACAGGTGCGGTGTCTGTGTGTATGTCTGTGTGTATGTCTGTGTGTCTGTCTGTGTGTCTGTCTGTGTGTCTGTGTGTCTGTCTGTGTGTGTTGGGACGGGGGAATGTAAAGTGGGGCCCCAAAGTGTGTTCATGTTGTTGATTCCTGGTTTCTGTGTACAGCCCCTGTGCCTATCTCCTGCTACTGCTATTGCGGCTGCTATTGCTGCTGCTGCCGCCCCTGCTTGTGGTTTTTTACTGCTGTCCATTGACACCGACGACCACCTGCCCCTGCCCCTGCTCCTAAACAGGCAAGTCCTCGAGGCGCATCAACGCAACCTGGGCTCCTCCCACAACCTGACCGCCCAGGCCCTCTCCAACCTGGCGGGCTGTCTGCATGAGCTCGGCAAGCTGGCGGAGGCGGAGGCCATGTACCGCAAGGCCCTGAACGTGTACGGCGATACGGTGGGCCCGCGGCACCGCCAGGTGGCGTTCACGCTGGTGGGCTTGGCGGCGGTTGTACGGGAGGGCGGCGACCTAGAGGCCGCTGAGGAGCTGTACCGGCAGGCCCTGGACGTGTGTCGTACGGCGCTGGGTCCCCGTCACCCGCACTCCCAAATGACGCTGGTTGCGCTGCGGGAGCTGCTGACGGAGCGGGGCAAGGACCAGGAAGCGGAGGCTCTGGAGCTGTAGCATGCATGCATGAATGCGTGTGAAGGTGGAGAGAACTGCCTTTTTGGGGGGTGCTGTGAGATGATGATGAGGAGGTGATGCTGCGTGGTGCAGCGTGCAGGTGGTTGCTTTCCCTCTTTATCTTCCCTTCATTAAAACACGACCCCTCCGCATTTCCTGTTCTCGAGCGCTGAGGCGGCAGACTTAGTGGTACTGTAACACTCGAACGGCACCCCGCCCTGCAGCTCTCCTGCTGGCCTTGTACGACCTTCAGTACGGCATCCCACGT